TTCTGGTGGTCCATCACTACTTATTGGTACTTTCTGGTGGTCCATCACTACTTATTGGTACTTTCTGTTGGTCCATCACTACTTATTAGTACTTTCTGGTGGTCCATCACTACTTATTGGTACTTTCTGGTGGTCCATTACTACATATTGTTACTTTTTACCAAAATAGTTCCTAGAATCACAATAATATAGGAAAGATGGGGCTGGAAAACGAATTCAGTGAGAGAGCATTAAAGACCCGAGTTTCGAAAATACAAGCTCGAGCTCGATACTCGATGGAAGAGGACAGACAAAAGATGTTCTCAAGAGAGAACAAGATGATGGAAAAGGTTCTCACATGTCTGAGAACTCAATGATGTTCAGCCGCTGAACAAAGTCGCTGCACGGAAGCCAATAACTCCCGTTGAACAGGAACAATATACCTGTACTTACCGAAGCCTCCCCCCCCCTTTTTACATCAATTATTGACCTTTACTACCATGCAAACCACAACAGTTAACTAAAACCCTCCCTCTTTCCCGGGTACCTATTTACTGCCAGGTGAACAGACGCATCAAAGAGGAAAAACCCTATCCATCCCTACCGAGGATTGAGTCCGGGAACCGCAATTGCGAGTCACGGACGTAGACTACTGAGCTACAGGAATCTGCTCCACTATTACTATCATGGGGCAATCCGATAGTCTTTGTACCACCCACTGCGGACTCAGCCACCCCTCCACCCCCCTCCTACTCGACTATCAGGTAGGCATAATAGTAACCTACAGATTATCCGCAAATTCTAACAGTTGTCAAGCCTGTAGCCTATTTGTGAGCTATAACAGATGGTACAGACTATCCGCGAATCACGAGAGATGGATTAGACTATCCTATGGTCACAAGAGATGGATTAGACTATCCTATGGTCACAAGAGATGGATTAGACTATCCTATAGTCACAAGAGATGGATTAGACTATCCTATAGTCACAACAGATGGATTACACTATCCTATGGTCACAAGAGATGGATTAGACTACTTGAGACACACAGAGGATTTGAGCCCCTATCTCAAAGATAGGAAGGAAGATATCTTCACAGGAAGATATGTACACAGGAAGATAAAAAAAAAATGGATAATGAAAGGGACATAATCTGGAACGAAGGAGAGGAAAAAGAGACATATAAACAGGCAACGAAGTATAAAAACGGAGATGAGGAAGAAGGGAGAGGGGGCAAGAGGTGAGAGAAAAGGGAAGGAAGGGAAGTAAAAATGGAAGGGAGGGGGGAAAAGCAGGAAGGAAGGAAGAAGAGAGGAAGGGAGAAGGGGAAGAAGGAAGAGGGGTGAATCATTAAATGAAGGAAGGAGCCAGGCAGGAGAGTATATAGAGGGAAGACGGTGGAAAAGGGTGAAGAGGGGAAACGAAGCAGAACAGGAAAGGAAAAGAGGGAAAAAAACTCAAATAAATGACTAAAGGAGTAGTAAAGGTTGAGTTGATATATGAAAATCTAATTAAGGCAGGTGTGTCGTCGGATGACAGGTGTATGCAGCTCGGCAGACAGGTTTGTAAAGCAAAGGTGTGTCTATATAGAAGAGAAAATCTCTATATGCATGTCAATAGGCGTTTACGTACATGCGGAGGGAATAGCTCAATAAGTATGTGAGCTGGTGGCTCTATACATGCATGTGGAATATAAGCTCTACATACATATATACATACATACACACACATGCAGGCGAGAGTGAGTTGCCAACACTGCTAACATGGAGAATTGTCATTAAAATCCACATCAAAGACAGTTTTGTGTGTGTACTCACCTAGTTGTGCTTGCGGAAAGAGCTTTGCTCTTTCGGCCCGCCTCTCAACTGTAAATCAACTGTTTACTAACTACTTTTTTTTCCCACGCCACACACACACACACACCAGGAAGCAGCCCGTAACAGCTGACTAACTCCCAGGTACCTATTTACTGCTAGGTAACAGGGGCATTCAGGGTGAAAAAAACTTTGCCCATTTGTTTCTGCCTGGTCCGGGAATCGAACCGGGCCACAGAATTAAGAGTCCTGCGCGCTGTCCATTCAGCTATCAGACCCCTGTGTGTGTATGTTTGTGCGTGTGTGTACGTGTGTGTGTGTAAAGGCATCCTAGTGTGTATTGACCAACTGACTCACACCAGCCACATACGGTATGGAAATCACTCTGTATGGCAATTATCTATACACCATACACCCACCTGTATTTTGACCGTCAATCTGAACCCTCCCCCCCTCTCTCTCTCTCTCTCTCTCTCTCTCTCTCTCTCTCTCTCTCTCTCTCTCTCTCTCTCTCTCTCTCTCTCTCTCTCTCTCTCTCTCTCTCTCTCACTCTCTATAGTGGCCACATATCTACATCATCGTCCACTTAAATCATAAATTCAGGTTTGTACATGCAGGTGTGAAATAGATTTAACATCACATCAGAGGCGCAATTATTCCTTTGTTCCAAACGTCAGATATAATTACTTGAATATGAAACTGTAATT